CGCCGCACTGCTCCCCAACGGCGGTCGTTGTTGCTTTGTCGAGGGATTTTGCTGTCAGGAGGCGTGAAACAGGGGCCGGGGCTGCTTCTGTGTTTAATGCATGGGGATGCAACTTTGTTGGGTTTTTAAGGGCTTCGTCTTGGTTGCCGGTTGGGCGTTGTTCTCGATTCTCCTGAATTTGCTGCCGCTGCTGCCGCAACATCCGTTGCCTGTTGTGTCTTTGCTAGCACTGGCAACGCCGGTGATCGAAATAACACACCCTGAAGCAGATGCCACAGCATATTGGTCAAACACTTTCCACCTCGGTGGTGCTGTATACTGGGAGTATTAAAGTATGCACAATATGGATTCAAATCTCTACCGTCGGACGAAGGTTTAGAGCAGGTTGGGCAGCGAGCTCCGACGGGAGTTGTAGATATGGCGGCCTGCGACTTAATCGGCTCATTTTTGTTATTGTGTTGGACTACTGTGTTCGTAAAGTCGGGGTTGTTTTGTAGGGTGGATGAATCTCTTGGCACAGAGAAAATAGTCAACTTGTTTTATTCTCCTTTGGGGGCAAGTGCGCAGCAAGGCGGGTGAATTGGCCTTGGGACACAAGTACCCGTCCCAAAGACCCGACTGCTGTACCATGTTTTGGGATTTTTTTATACGTACATATCTTGTTTCCCACAGCGGTCTGCCGGTTTTCTACGGCGACGTGATGCGGCCGGAGGTGCTGAACGCGTTTAACGTGGGCAAGGCCAAGGCCGTGATCTGCACCCTCTCCGATGTGAAGGGCACGACCACGGCCGTCGTCAACCTTCGAAGGGAGTTCCCCGACCTGCCGGTGAGAAGTGGTGCTAGGATAAGGATAAGGTAGCTGACAGGACTGTGTCAGGCAGTCTGAATGGAAGGAGGGTTATCAGTGCTTGGAGCGTCCGGTTGTCTGAATGGTAGGAGGGTTCGTCAGGGAGAAATAGGTGGGGAGGGGGAGGGGGGAGGTGTCAGGAGTCGGCCGTTCTCCGAGGTGTGCCCGGCTCCGGATCAACGTGCTGAGATATGGCAACGGTTCATGAGTTCAAGAGCTTACGCCGACCGAAACAACCCTGCCCCCGCCGCCGCTGTCGTCGCTTCCGCCCCCCGCCATCTTGAAAAAATAAATCGAAATGGGGCGAAAATAATGCGACGATACGAGCGCAGATTTTCGCTCGCGCCCAGGACGCCAGGCACCAGAAGAACCTCGCCTCCATCACGGACGTCGTGGCCATGGTGCCGACCCTCCCCGAGGACTCTATCATCGTCAGCCTCCCATTCGGCGGCGCGGTTCTCCGGAGCCTGGGCTGCACGGCGGACGAGGTGAACGTCCTGCTCGAGGACACCCGGAAGAAGTTCGTGCTGGAAAAGGGTAAGAGCCAGAGAGAGCTAGCGAAGGTTCCAAGTATTGTTTTGTTTTGTCGGCGGCAGTCGGTCGGTCTGGCACTTGCTAACACTTGTGCTACCGTAGCGTAGTGCCGCTGTGTGTGTGCGTGTGTGTGTTGTGTTTTTTTGCCTGCATGTGTGTACACGGGCGGCATGGGTGTACCCCCGATGCCAGGACGAACCGCGGGCCGTACGTGCGTCATGTGGGTAGGTGGGTGTGTGAAAGAGGGAAAGAGGAAGAGAGAGCGTGTGAGATTGACACACTCGCTGGTGTAAACGTGGTGCTCGTTTGATTTTTCCATTGATTAAGCCACACGTACCTACTTTTGCAGGTCTGGAGAACGAAGAGGACGACAACCTGTTCGAGCAGCTGGGCATCCAGAAGTCCATGGTCGAGACCTACACGGAGAACCCCGTCTTGAAGGACGCCGTCGGCGCCGACACCGGCGAAACCGACGACGCGCGGGACGCCGGAAAGGGCTCTGCGGCAGCCGCGACGAAGACGGAAAAGGCAGCGGAGGCGGCGGCAGCGGTGGCAGTGGTATCGGCAGCGGCAAAGGTGAGCAAAGATTTACATCATAGGAGTAGGTAGCTAGCTTCATTTTCGGGGCACGTACTTTCGTGGCTTTATTTAGCCTCGCGTATGGATCCATACGTCAACATCGATGCTGGTTCCCTTGCGCTTGCTTAGCAGAGTAAAGTGGTCCAATCTTGAGAAGCCGCCGCGGCCGCCGCCAACGTGCCACTGGTCAGCCAGTTTCCACGCAAGCTAGTCCGCTTACCGTAAGAGGCGGAGAGATCCCCCCCCCCCCCCCCCCCCCCCC